GTATAAAAAGTTGAAAGTCTCTGGATCTATCATACCTTAACTCTATGACCTGCTGTAAATTCACAAATCTGAACTACCATTTCGTTACATTTTTGACACGGGAGCTTCACGTTATCATAATGTCTCAAAGGGGGATAACAGAACTGCAAGATCGGTTTAGACGGCGAGCATGTAGCTAGTCTTTGCATCTAAATTTGAATTCATTAATTGCATTGGTAATGTTAATGTTAATATGAAAACTATGTTGTCACTTGATGTATACTCGCTGTTTACTAATGTTTCCTTATAGGTAATATTATGCTTTATTTGTAATAACACCGACTTTCACAAAGTGAATATAGGAATGTCAACTTCTTACTTTAAAGAGCCTGTACCTCGATGTACATTGTGTTCGAGTTCATTTTAAGTGAGATGTTGAAATACCGATGGAGCATTGACTAACCCACATGGCAACGTTTTGGATACATACAAGCCTGATTGAACAATAACTGCCGTTTTCCGTCTGTCTTCGAAGTTCCTCATCATCGGTTCTACACTAATATCTAGTTTATTTTACAGCAATTATATCAATCATGCGGTTTAGTCAATAATAATTACCAGTTTTAGGTATAGGGGGGTGGGGTGAAAATACGAGATTAAAAGCCATTAAAACAATTAACTAATAGATGTTAGTAACGAGATATCTAAGTTTTGAAGCAGGGGTAAAAATTAATGTTACTAGGGGGGGCACCAACTAGAGGAAGAGCTCTTAAATGTCATAGACCGTTATAGAGGTACTTAGTGATTTCACATAGAGAATTCGGGAGCAACATTCTGTTTTATAACCCATTAACACATTTCAGTAAGCTGCAACTGTTTCCACAGCTAGTCATAGTTCAAGCTAGGTCTGTAGACACAGTAGCCCAACACTAGGGGCAATGCTATTACCGGTGAGAAGGTATAGTGTAAGATAATTCTTATGTTTTAACTGTACCCCTCTTTGATTTCAGGTTGGCTGCGTGACGTGTATGGATTAGTGTCCCAAGACAATGCTGTGAGCAACCAATTGGAAGAAGCCTACTCTCTGTAATAGAACTGGTTGTAAATATAGCCTTTGATCACGAGTGATGGTTCTTATTCTTACTGGCATGCGACACTTGTATGATCATCCTGGTAACCCGCTCTTTGCTTTCTGTTTTTCAGGTCAGTACTGGACGTATAGCAGTACAGTCTGTTGGATAATTAGTCGTCATTTCCGATTCTTACGTAATTATATCGTCTTGATAACCATCGTAAAAATGTGAGTACATATTCATCAGCTTACCATATCTACACATTTTTATTATATGAGTTGATTCCGAATTTATTTTATTCTCAATCTATTCTGGCTTTTGGTTACGATTAATTTATCTGTATTAAGACAAATAGCGAGTGTTATCAGCAGTTTTGTAATGAACTACCACTCGTCGTTTTCTTCTAATTTAGATTAGGATGATGTTTTGAGCACAATCTATTGCTCATAATTATATCAATATATTCATATATGGCTTCACTGCCTCCAGATATCTACTGCAATTTTCTATATATCTAAATCATTGAAATTAAGCTGTATCTCTTCCAAAAACAACTTGACCATTACAATGCATTCACTTGCATGTAATTATACATTAGGGTAAAAGAGCAACTATAAAATGTAGTAAGCTAACTCTCTAGCCAACAAACTAGCACTGAATAACCTATCAAATTCGTCCCACGAAACATGCATTTATCATGTGGGAAGTGTATTTAGGGCAAATGTATACTAAATAATGACATCTGAAACCAGTTTCTGTGCACATATTCGTCTAAATGAAATGATTGTGTGTATTATATGTTTTTTGGACCAGCTCATCATGCGTTTTTCAAATTGTGATCAAAATCCTTCGATCGAATTTGTATGGGTCCCAGTGATACATATATTATTGTTTCCTTTAACTACTAGAGGAACATAGGGCTTCAGCCGTGCGTCTCCATTGCGTTCGGTTCTCTGCTAGAGTCTTCACCTGGCTCCAAGTCTGCCCACACGTTTTCATTTCCTCTTCACATGACCTGTGGAGTGCGTAACAATGTGATTGTACACTTTTTGGTTATTTGTAGAAATTAGACATATTGTACATAATTTTTGTTTAAAACGCTTCTTGTTGAAATACACTTGGCTTCCGTGAACGATTGAAAAATACACTCTGCTGTTGGAGACTTCGTCATCTCCTTGGTTTCTTCGGCTTACTAGCTCAGCTCTCACCGTGTTGTATCTTTCGAATTTATTGTAGAAGTCCACTACACTCAACCGAAGACAATTCTACAACTGGGACACAGCAGCTACAACCTACTCCGTCCAAACAATTAACGTCTCCGTGGGTTATATAAATAATCTGTAGCAGAGGACTTAAACTTTATTACCAAATCGACTTCATCTCAATATACTGCTCAAGGAAGTGGAGACGCAGCTTACTGGACACGAAAGTAAGAAGAGGAGAAGACGTTGGCTTAGACCACTATCTCGTACAAGGGACAATCCAAATCAAATTGAAAGCTTTCAAAGAAACAGGAACTGCAGATAGACCCCAAGCCAAGTTCAATATTCAAAAACTAAAGGACCAGGATACAAAGGATATCTTCACTGCAATCGTTAGGAAAAAGGTGGAGACACATATCAACACTGGCGAAAAGACCAGTGTTGAAAAGCACTGTAAGAGCCTGAAAGCGGTATGGAATCAAACCTGCATGGAAGTTCTGGGCAGAAGGAAGAGACAGGACAAACAGTGGCTCACTACGGACACATGGAGACTAACAGAAGAGAGAAGGATGGTGAAACAAAAGATTATCCAGTGCATCGACGAGCAACAAAAACAGGAGTTGAATGCAAGCTACAATACACTGAACAAAAGAGTAAAGAAGAGTGCCAGGGAAGACAAAAGAAAATATTATGAAGCTATGGCAAGTGAAGCAGAACAAGCTGCAGTGCAGGCAAAGGAGACCTCGCAACACTCTACCACGCAAGTAGGTTTCTATCGGGGAAGAGACAGACACAAATTAAGCCAGTGTAGGGTGACAATGGAAATTCAATCACCAAAGAAGTGGAGCAAAGAAACACTGGGCTGAACACTTCAAAAGACTTCTAAATCGACCGCTACTTACAACGCGCACAATAATACCAACAACGGAAGCAGAACTACCAGTGGACATCAACCCTCCGACGAAAACAGAAATCCTGAAGGCCATTAACATGCTAAAAGCTGGAAAAGCAGCAGGACCAGACGGAATCCCCACAGAAGCATTGATAATGGACCCAGAGACATCAGAGGACTTGATGACACCACTACTGGAGAAGGTGTGGAAAGAGGGCAGGGTACCTGTGGATTGGAGACTTAAGTCAATACAAGAACTGGCGCGGTATTACGCTCCTGTCTCTCCCAACTGCTGTCTGCCGTATTAGATGGTACTACCATTGGTTGAGTAGGATTGAGGTTAGGGGTTGAGTGTTGGGTAAGGGGTGAAAGTCAATCGAAGGCGTTGTAAAGCTACATCGATTGGGATGGCCAGGACGTGCAACGCACGCCTAACCTACACCTTCCTCCACGGAGAATGTTAACTGGAATAAGATCAAATTGGAAAGTAGCTCTTGGTGGTCAAACAACAACTTGGAATCAGCCCATGAAATCTTTGACAGTTAGTTTGAGTGTAGACTCGTTGGATGAGGTCCTCGGGATTCAAAGAAAAAATTGGTGGAGACGGTTGGTGATAGTGCTCAAAAATGTCCTCAATAGCGAAGATACTTTCATTCCTTGTGATCTGTCATATCGATTAAACCCTATTGTGGTTGCATTTTACTATTCAGACTCCTTCACATTCCTGCTTATTGTCATTCTTTTGAATCTTTTCTCTCTCTTTCTGCTTCTATCCTTTGTCTTTTTTGTGTGTTACATGGAATGTGGCAGCTCGAACTGCTGCACATCTGTGCAAGCTGGTCTCTTGAAGGCATTACTAATTCTAAGTTAAAGAGTTATGTACAGTTTAAAAATACACAGAATTCTTACCTTTCGCACTTGTTATTCATCACACGGCTGGTTATAGGTTTTCTGTAGACTAAATTACATTGTGCGTCGGTGTTTAGGCGGTAGGAATGCTCATCAACCGTGCAAATGGTCTGGGGTTCGATTCCCAACCTTGCCTAGCCGTTCGTGAAGCTGGTAAAGAGGGAATGTTGGATGTGAGATTGGCAACCCCACTCTCCGTAAAAAAAAACACTGCTGCCACTGAAACTTCGAAGTGGGAGCTCAAAGCCCTATATTCCACCCGAAACGTATGCAAAGGTGTAGTGAAAACCATGAACAGTTCGATATTGAACCATCAAGTGCAAACCGGCCACAAAGCCAGCCAGCGTTGAAGAATCCTTCTCTATAATCTACCGGGTGCCTAATAAATTGCCAAAAACATCGAAGCACTGCATGCTCCAAACAGCAGAGGCTATTGCAATTCACCTCAAACAACCAGTGCTCTGTGTGCAAAAGAAGCAAGTCCAGCCACTACTACTGCCCTGACTGGCCTTCAGTAGAGACTAGAAATTCATGAATTTGTAATACTGTCTTTCCTAATTTTTCTGACATTCAGTGTGTATTGTTATGTTGGTGCTACTGAGCTATAATCTATCAATATTATTGATTCGATGATATTTAAACAACATTAATGTTGTACATAACACTAATTCATTCATTCACTGTAATGTGTATTTATAACTGTAGAGCCTGATGATGAAGAGGTTATCGAAAAGGGTATTCTTTGTTCAGCATTCATGGTTTTGAAATCTCCTGTATAGTCTGTATCTGAATTGTGATAAAACCACTACTATTATTACCAATGCTGCTGTTTTTTATTGTGTCATAATAATAGTCAAATCTACTTCATTTACTTTGTTTTGTAGACTCTTGATTTGTATATGTCAAACACTACAACTGTTCGAACTGTGTGCAGAGCTATACCTAATGATTGTCTCAAGATCACCAGAACTACGAACTTCCTTTTTAACATTGGAATATGGTACAGGTGATACTGATCTAGAAAAATTATTGAATGTAGCCCTAAAAAACCCTTCTTGTTGTGATCAAGCTAAAGCAGCTCTTCGTGATCTAAACTGTGCAGTTGAATTTCAAGAACCTTGGAAAGGACCTCTGAAGTCTGTTGTGATGGATAGATAGTATTTGATTTTTGTTATATAAACATTTTTAATAAAATACCAATGAATTACTGACTTGATTTGTATATTTCTTTTACTGTCAAAAAAATAAATAAATGAATTGTGACTAAGTTGTTTTTCACTGAATCCTAATCTACAGTTCATTTGAATTATTTCGGTCAGGAACAGTACAACTGTTTCTGCAGGTTATTCGTTCTGTGACAGGTCACTTTTACTCATAACATCAGGAAGTCATCACTTTCTGCTGTCGCGTAGTTGTAGACTCAATAATCATACGTAGATTAAGTGTTGCTCGGGAGAAGCAAACGGGATAAAAACCAGACAGACTTCAGACCAGGAACAGGGTGTATTGATCATATCTTCGCTCTTTCACAGATTCTGGAACATAGCTATATTTACCGGCGCCCAACAACTGCCATATATCTTGACCTGAAGGTGGAATTCCACTCCGTCAGCTGAGAGGTACTATGGCAACGTTTGGTCGTGAAGGGAGTAGCGAGAAAGTTCATCGCATTTATCAAGGCACTCTCCCTACTCGAGCTCACGCCACCGTGTAAGACCTAACGGAGAGTTATCATCTTAAGTGATGACAACCAGTAGATGTCCATCAGGATACCCACTGTTCCCATTTCTGTTTATTTTCCTTATAGATGCACTAGTGAAATTAACCCTAACTGAATTCAGTGACTCAGGGATTGACTTGTTACCAGGGTACAGTCTCGTTGACTTAGAATATGTGAATGATATAGTTCTCTTAGTTAGAGACTCTGATAAAACTCGGAGTCTTCTGGCCACACTGAGCAGCAATCGTCGAATGTTTGGTATGCGGTCCACTCCTGTCAAATGTAAGATGATGCTACAGGACTGGACTACATCAATTTCTAACTTAAAAATGGAGAGTGAAGTGATAGCATATGTTGACTACTGCACTTATTCGAGAATTTTCCTCAGCCCCAACGGGCTGATTGCGGACGAAATCTCAGAACGGATATATAAGGCTTGTGTGGCATTCGCCAACCTGCATCATCTTTGGCATAGATGTGATAGCCGGATGGCTATTGTGGAAGGACGCGCGTGCTGCACACCAGTTCGCTCCGTCCTCATTTGTGGATGTGAGACACAGCCATGGAGAGGGGAATATAGGAAACCCCTGGCTAGCTGTCTTTGATAATAGGTGTCTGCGTTCTATCTCTAAGTAGTATATCTACAAAAACAATTTTAACATACTTGCGCAGAGGTCATCTGTTTTATCTCATCATTTAGGTCTTTTCTTGTTCGGTTTGTGAGACACTTAACTAAGCCTGACTTAACAGACAGATAACGGATGAGACGAATTGAAGTCTAAACATCTATGAGGAGAATGCGTTGGCGTTTTATAAACGCCGCTAGTGTGAAGTTTACCGTCTTCTGTTCGTTTTATTTTACAATCTAACATCATAAAAGCTAATTCTGCTTGTTTATTTACCGATTCAAATGTGAATTTTATTCCCTCTACTAGTGAGTTTATGTGTGTGTGTCAAGAAGCTAGAGGTTTTTCCTTTCTAAAAATTATTTTTTCTTCGGTTAAATTTTCACAGCTTTATGAACTGCCTGCCTCTCAGCCAATATCTAATGTTTTATCAGACTTCTTAGAAGCTTCTGAGGCTGAAATTAGTCAGAAGTCAGAATCAACTGGTGAAACAAAAGAAGAGTGTACTTCTTCTGAATCGCAGAACTCTCAGCTAACTACTACTACTACTACTACTACTAAGTTGCCAATAAACGCGGGTGTACGGCGTGAATTTGTTGCCGGAATTCAGCATTTTTTCAATCTTACTATTGGTTCTCATCTTTTATACAAATTTGAACGATTACAATATGCTGAGCTATTGAAACATCATACAGATAAGAGAATGTCAGATATTTATGGTTCAATTCATTTGTTAAGGTTGTTTGGTAAGTCGTCTTAATATTCCCTTTAATATATTTGTGTGCACTGTGGTGGTGGCAGTAAGTGATTCCATATTAGTTTTTTTATTAGATGGATGTATCACACACAGTCAGTCAGTGAGTGAAACAGTGTTAGTATTTACTGGATGACAAAGTTGTTTCGAACACAATTCATTATTGTTCATAATCATATCACCAATTATAATCACACGACTTCGAAACTTGAGTCTGATAGTTTTCTTTGTCCTCTCATATTTGTTGTCGTCTTTGGGGTAGTAGAATTTTCCAGATATTGGGGTGGACAGGTGTTGAATCATTCCTGTTACATGTATTTGCCACCCCAAATGTGTGGTGGAGGTGTATGTAGATGACACATTCATTCATTGTACTTAGAACACAGGATATAGATAGATTTTTCGAACACATTAACTAACTCAAAGGTGGAGGTAATTCAATTCACTTATGAGGAATCGGAAAGTCAGGAACTCAGGGAGCTTCCAATGTTAGATCTGTTTTCTCTATGTTCACCTGAAGTCCCTCCTATCTTTGATGCTTCTTCGGCCACATTTTGTCATTTACGGAGCCTAATTTTCAAGTATTGCAAAAAGTATTTTAAAGTATTGGTTTTTGTAGGGATTTTTTTATTGGTTGCAGGATTTCATCATGACCGCTGACATCGGTTAGAGAACCCCATTGGAAAAGCACCACTGGAGAGTACTGGACAGTTGTTTCCCCCGTCCTAGTTTGTGGCTCTTCAACAGCATGCACCCACCGACGAGGTTCGAATCCAGGACCTCTTCTGGTTACAAGGCGGCCAGCGAGGTAGCTCGTAGAGCATTCAGCAGCCACTGATGTCCGATCCAATGGCCAGCCAGCCAGTCCATGAATTCTAACTTCTGCCAATTCACGCACGACATATAGTGCGACCACTTATCACAATGTCTTCGATGAGTAGTTAGTAACTGTCTTCACCTTCGACTTGCTGTGTACCCTACTGGTCACGTCTTCCCACTGGAACCCCAGGTTAACTGCCTGAATAGAGAGAGCCAACCATTCGGTAGTGAGTGAGCATCAGATCAGTTTATTAAGTATATTGGTCTACTAGCTAGCTCGCTCTTCTTGTAACCAGAAGGTCCCGGGTTCGAACCCAGTCGGTGGGTGCGTACTGCTGAATAGCCAATCCAAAACTAGGAGGGGGAAACAGCTGTCCAGTACTCCCAGGTGGGTTTTCCAGTGGTTCTCACTAACTGATGTCAGCTCATGATGAAATCCTCCATGCAAATAACAGTTATGTAGATGATTTTCAAGCTCATACAACATACATACAACAATTTATGTGAATTGTTGAACCTAAACAATGTCTGTCTTTTGAAGCTATTTTTTACTGTTTATAGTTAAACTCCGAGATATGGTGTCATGCGTCCGAGTCGATGAGCATAGTCTCCCTATGCTAGAAGCTTCAGTTGCTGAGTTTTTGCGGTGAGTGTTTTTTTATATATTTTTTATTGCATTGTAAATTAACGAAGAGTGAGACGCGTATAAATTTTCTCTCATTTACACATTCACGATCTTGCACAATGCATTAGTTGTATATTTTGATTTGACACTAGTCAGTAACTAGTGCGTGTGACGTGTCTAGCTAGTCCTTTCGTTGTCTGATGCAGACTGAATTCTATCAGTCTGTCAGTCAGTCAGGTTTGCAATGTGGCCACCATGCCATCAGATAGCTCGCCATCATAGTGCACACATTGATTTCATGGTATTAGATAGTTGGAGGCAATCGGCCGGAGGAAGACTTGTCCGGACCTAGGTTTCGTGCTAGTTGTTGGCACTCACCGGTCAGTCAGTCAGCAAGGCGTATCTGCAACCACCTTGAAGGAACAGCTCATGTCCCTCCTTCTGAGATTCGAACTCGCGTCCTACAGGAGGTCAATCGCGAGCCACAATAGCTCAATGGTAACGTCTCTGACTGCAGTACTCACTGGGTGATGTGGGTTCGAATCTCAGGTGGGTGGGACATGAGCTGTTCCTTCAAGGTGGTTGCAGATACGCCTTACTGACTGACTGACCGGTGAGTGCCAACAACTAGCACGAAACCTAGGTCGAGCGAGGCTTCCTCTGCCTCCAACTATCTAATAGCATTAATTGTATGGACGGACTGTCAACAATCGCCACTTTTTTGTGCCGACTAGAAAGCTTGGTTTTAGGTTGTTGATCTTAGAATCGAATATATATATCATGTTAGTAAATAAAAATATTTATTGTAGTACTAACAGTGCAGTTTTTCTCCATCTCAAAGTTCTAAGGTAGTAAGTAGTATTACATTAACTATGACTCACTAGTGAACATTTTGATTTGTCTTCTACAGGTCTCGGTGGGATAAAAGTTTTGCTTTCCATCACTTTTCAGTAGTATATCTTAACCACACGAAAATTACTTTGGCTCATTCTGTTACTATTATTATTGTTTGCATTAATTCCTAGAGGAGCATAGGGCTTCAGCCGCGCACGTCTCTTTTGCGTTTAGTTCCCTGCTAAAGTTTTCACCTGGCTCCAAGTCTACCCACATGCTTTCATCATCTCTTCACATGACCTCCTCCAGATCACCCTCACACTGATGACCAACTCGCCGCTTCCAATTTGGTCGGGTTCCACTCGAGCAATGGCTTGTCTAGTGATGTCACTTGATGGTTTCCTCAGAGTATGACCACAATCCATCTCCATTTCTTCCTGCGTATTTGTTTCACAATCGGTTCCTCCTGTGTTGGTTCGCTCCCAGAGATCTGTTGCTGATCTTTTCTGGCCAGCCATCTGATATTGAGTATTGAGCGAAGACAACTAGCTGTTAATGAAGGTCTGTAGTTTGTTTGAGATGCTCTTTATGACGCGCTGGCCAAGTCACCGATCCGTATAGTAGCACTGACTGACTTCACATTGGAGTTGAAAATCTGGATCTTGTTTTTCATGCTGAGTAGTGCTGAGTGTTGGTCTCCACACAGACTTGAGAGCAATGAAACCTTGCTTTGCTTTTCCGATCCTTGCTTTGATATACCTGTCAGTTCCGTTGGCCTGTAGTTGAAACGATGCTTCCCAGGTAGGTAGCTGAAGGAGGTTGTTTCTTTCAGGTTCCTCCCATTTATGCTGGCTAACTGTTGTCTGTTGTTGTTGTTGTTGGCCAGGGATCTTCATCACCTCTGTTTTGTCTATGTTCACCTGAAGTCCCTCCTATCTTTGATGCTGCTTCTCCCAACTTGTTGCCTTTCGCTTGCATATCTTCCAGTTTGTGGGAAATCATATATATATATGTAAGTTTCCCGTTGTGGATTACCTGGCATGCAGTGTTGTCGTACAACTGTTGGATGATATGTATAATTGTCGGCGACACCCCTTGGTAGTAGTGAAGTAGTTGCCAAATCACCTCTCGATCGATGCTGCGCTGTCGAAGGCCTTTTCAAAGTCGATGAAGTTGAGATAGAGAGGTGACTGCAATTCCAAGCTCTGTTCAATGATGATCCGTAGTGTGTCGATTTGATCAATACATGACTTGTTTCTCCTGAATCCAGTCTGTTCCAGTCGAAGTTTTTCATCCAGGTTGGCGTGTTTTATTCTCTCCAGAATGATGCGGCTTAGTATTTTGCTTCGAATGGACAGGAGCATAATTCCGCCCCAGTTCCTGCATTGACTTAAGTCTCCTTTCTTTGGTAGTTTGAATAAGCATCCTTTCTTCCAATCCGCAGGTACCTTGTCCTCTTTCCACACTTCTCCAGTAGTAGTAGTGGTGTCATCAAATCCGTTGTTGTCTCTGGGTTCATTTTCGATACTTCTGCTGGGATTGCATCTGGTCCTGCTGCTTTTCCAGCTCTTAGCATCTTGATTGCCTTCAGGACTTGTGTTCTCGTTTGGCCGAGGGGGGGTTGATGATCACTGGTATGTAGTTCTGCTTCCGTTGTTTGTATTATTGGGCGCGTTGTAGGTGGCGGTCGAATATTTTTGCAACGTTAGCTTACTTCTAAAAGATGGAAATCACTTACCTATTATGTATACATTCCTGTCATTTGATACCGTAGAATTTACTTGTAAATAATTATATTCTAGTTGACAGACTCAATGAAGGATAAAATATGTATATATATCTTGGATTCTTATGCAGGCCACAACCAAAAAGAACCCAATGTTGAGTGTTTGTTTTTATTAAAATTACTGCTCAACAGTCCGCTCCGTCCTCCTTTATGGCTGTGAGAGTTGGCCATTGAGAGTGGAAGACATGAAAAGGCTGATTAGCTGTCTTCGATCATAGGTGCCTGACTGCGTTCTATCTCCCGTGTGAAGTGGTATAATAGGTTGAGCAATATTAAGGTTAGGCGTCGCTCGAGTGCTGGGTAGGTGGGAGGGTGAATAAATAGACGAGGCTGTGAAATTGCATCGACTGAGTGAAGTGGTTAGGACATGTGTTACGTATGCATGCCTGGTCATCGCCTTCCTCGACAATGGGCAATGTTAGCTGGCTGACATAGGGTCAGGCTGGGAAAGAGTTAGCTAGCGGCGGTCAAACCAAAACATGGCTTCTTCGTCGGCCAATGAAATCCACAACAGTTAGTTTAAGCCAGGCAGCTAGCCACGTAGGAAGGTGTAGACTTGCTTCCTGACTGGTTGGGGTCCTCGGGATGACGGTAAAAACCAATGAAGGCTGGAAATAATTGGTGATATGGCTCAAATGAAACTATATTGTTCTTCGTTATTACTATTCCTTTATCTCACCACACTTCTGTTTACTGTCTCTCTATTATGCATTTCTACTTTCTTCTCTTGCTTTGTGTGATACATGGAGGGAGTGTGTGGTGACTTGAACTGGTGCACATCGGTGCAAAGTGGTTCTGTGTGGAAAACAGACAGACAGACTTTTAGAAGGATTCACTTCTAATTATATCACTGGTTTAAATATGTAAATGAAGGTTTATTAGTCGGCTTCTCTCTCTTTTCCTGTTTTTTAGGTTTCTGCAACAAAATGAAAGCCGTTACTTCCGAATTGAGGATTACAGTGTGGCGACGGCAGAATATCAACGAAGAGCGATGTGTTAAATGCGCATATAACTAACTGTCACCGTTGTAAAAAAAAACAAAATTGATACGTATGCTCTGAAATAAATAATGTATAATATAATTCCATATTTGTTTGTTTATTAGGTGTATCACACAGTCACAGAAACAATATTAGTATTTACTGGATGATAAAGTTGTTTCGGACACAAATCATTATTACTGTTCATAATCATACACATCACCAATCATAATCACACGACTTCGAAACTTGAGTCTGATAGTTTTCTTTGTCCTCTCCTATTTGTCGTCGTTAGGGGTAGTAGAATTTTCCAGATATTGGGGTGGACAGGTGTTGAATCATTCCTGTTACACTTAGTCACTCTCAGTTGATTCGATAAACAAAGCTTCCATTGTTATCAATCTCTCCCTCCCTCTATTCACCGTGACATTAGATTTCAAAACTGTCATCCCGCCTATTGTATGGTTGTGTGTATTTGCATGTAGTGCTTGCGATAGCTGCTGAACCATTCTCTAGAATTCTTATCTTATTCGGGTCAACCAATCTAGATTTTGGTGCTATGTTTTTATGCTGCTCAGCTAGTCTGACTGACTGCACCTGTGCCACTAGTTTGACCTATGTATTTTGACCTGACAATCATTGCAGACAGGGTATTAGATAAACTAAATTTTTTTGTTGCAAATGCTCCACAGGATTGATCCTTTAACCGACAAAGCTTGTTTGTAATTGAGTTTGTGGTTGGTTTGAATTCCAGCCACTTTTATTCCTGCCAGCATTGTTAAGAATTATGCATTAGGTGGTTTCCGAGGTTCCTTCCTTCTATGGAATTACACTAAGAAGGTGTTGTTCTGAGCATGTTTGACATGCATGTCGTCATTAATATTATTATTATCACTGTCACTACTATCATTATTTATTTTATTTTTACATTTTCTTACATATTTCTTGACTAATTTATCCGAGTAATTATTAAGTTTCAGGGCATCTTTTATGTGTATCACTTCCTGTCTTAGATTTTCCTTGGTTCTACTTAGTTTTCGTGCTCTGTTGTCACTTAAACATTTCACCAAACCTATTTTTACTGACATAGATTGGGTGGAATGATCGGAAGTCCAAATATCTGTTTGAATGTGTGGGTTTCCTGTTAACACTGTTTAACTCCCCATCTTCTTTCCCTTTTACGCTACAATCTAACATTGGAAGCTCCCCGGCTTCCTGACTTTCCAATTCATCATAAGTGAATTGAATTGCCTCCACCTTTGAGTTATAATGTGTTCGAAAAATCTATCTATACCCTCTGTTCTAAGTACAATGAATGAATGTGTCATCTACATACACCTCCACCATACTTTTGGGATGGGTGGGGGTGAACGTTTCAGTCGCTATGTTTTCCCACCTCTGCATGAATATATCTGCAATTAATAGTGTTCTCTGAGCTGGTTGGTTTAGTTGCGAAGCTTTCTGTATATCTGTATAATATATATGTGTATATATACAAACAGACTGAAATACTTGAATTTTAGGTTTGTTCAAGCTCGTCGTTTGTGTTCTAGGAGTGCTTTTTTGACCCAATCTTCAACCAATATTTTCGTATGGATTGGTAGGTTACTAATTTATTTAAACTCAGAAAAAAACTTGGTACAATATGGCACCAAGAAAGATGCGCCACACAATAATAATAAAACAATATAGATCAAATGTAGAAAATTTAAGTAGAGAACTTTATCTGGAAGGAAAACAGTCATTTGTAGTAAGTTCAAAAATCATTCGTCAATTATTGTCAGAAAGGGAAGAAAGAAGGAAATTGCAACACGTTCGCCATTGATTACGATTCTTGGCCATATCTGATAACGTTTCGAGCCATCGATTCGGGCTACCTCATGGACCCCAACCAAGGAGTCGTGACGCACCAACCGATGTTAATCTAACACAAACATCCTTCATTCCACGACGCCAAGTCATGGACTGACCACCCCTCCGCCTTTTCTATCCCGTCCCAGGGCTGGCTAGCGAACAGAGATCTGTACGGAAGCCTCTGGGATGACATTCGCAGCACATGTCCAGGCCACCTGAGCCGGTGTTTCCAAATGACGGCACTCAGTGAATGGTGATCTCCACTGTGTTCAAACACACGCCGCCGAACCTCAGAATTACTCACGCGATGATGCCATCAAACGCAAGCAATCCTGAGGAGACAGCGATGATCGAACACACAGAGCCACCGCACATCCTCAGCCCACTCAGTGAGGCAAGGCTTCACAGGCGTAGAGCAAGACAGTCCGCACCGAAGCATTGTATACCCGACCTTTGATTGCCAGGCTAACGTCGCGATGGCGCCAGAATTAGCTCAAGTTGATTTATGCCACCCTAGCCTTCACTATACGGTTGGAAATCTCATCCGTCACCCCTCCGCCAGCACTCACACAACTACCCAGATACACAAACTTATCAACAACTTCAAGCGGTTCACCCGCAAGAGTGAGTGCAGATACAGGCTCCTGCCAATCTTGTAAGAGTACTTTGCACTTAGACGGCGCAAAGTACATACCATACTTACAGACAGGACAGATATTTGATATGAGGATAAATATTCGTGTGATTGATGATAGCCCTTTTCCAGTGTTGACTAAGATGCCATGCTTTTCAAAGGAATGCTTGGAAAAACAACTAAACTCTATACACACACCCTGCTTAAATCCCTCTAATGAAATTCTTTTTTGAAGTTTCCTTTCGCCTATACGCTGCTTTGCGTAAGACACAAATATGCCTCACCAAAACCTGAATGTAACCGTTTTTAGTAGTGTGTAGAAATATATAGAATAGGCTGGTGGTCCTCTTCGTGATCTTTGTGACCATCGGTGACATGACGTCAGTATTTCAAAATAACTTCAGAATTAACATAATCTGGGAATAACTCCATTATGGATAAGATTTTATTTTGATAAACTGTGACACAGTGTGTGTAGTGTTATACAGTAAGGAATATTAACTGATGCGACCACACGTTTCAAGCACAATTTATTATTGTCACTCATAATCATCATATCAAGTCACTCACTCACACAACTTTCTTCTTCCTTCATTTGTATACATGAGTGGAATTGATGATTAGATATTTGAATATAAATCAGTAATATGGGATAATGTACATTCAGAAGTAATAATAATAATATGAGTGTTATTGGTCAATTACAATTAAATGGGAAAAAGGACGAGTGTTTTTATAGTCATAATAAGTGAGTAACTTGTTAGAATGTTGTGATGATGTGCGTCAATTGAATTGAAATGGAATACAGTTTAGGATTATTTATTATTCTCCTCTGATTTCACTGACTGGTGGTAATAATATCTTCCATGCATATCTCTGGTATTTGTATTGAGTCATTTCTGTTGCATGTGTTGTGTTGGGTGTAGACTGGATGAACCAGCCAGGATTCAGTAATCAAGCACATCACAACATTCTAACAAGTTACTTATTTCGACTATAAAAACACTCATCTTATTTCCCATCTTATTACTGTAATTGATCAATAACACTCATATTATTATTATTATTTCTGAATGTACATTATCCTATATTACTGATTTGTATTCAAATATCTAATCCTCAATTCTACTCATGTATATAAATGAAGGGAGAATGTTGTGTGAGTGAGTGACTTGATATGATGATTATGAGTGGCAATAATGAATTGTGCTCGAAGCGTGTGGTCGTATCAGTTAATATTGCTTACTGTATAACACTACACACACTGTGTGACAGTTAATCAAAATAAAATCTTATCCATAATGGAGAAATAGTGGATGTATGTTGATGGACTGCATTCACAATTTCGGTGACTCCCTGATGATCATTTTGCAGCTTCTACATGCTTCGTTTGCGTTTTGATATGGATTAGTTCGCCAATATTCTGGCTTCTAACCACTTATAGACTGCAAATTACCTGTTGCTATAACGATACGTCTTTGTACATTTAACTGGACACTTATTGCTGTGGTGGGCGGGCCACTGGCAGATGGTATTGGTAAAACCATTATTCAAGGTGAACAAACTAACCTTTTACAGTACAGTTCTATTACCAAATGCATAACCTACCATACATACCTATCCCCAGTAATGCTACCATAAAAGATGAAGCGCAACCATGTGTTAATCCACCATGAACCCAATTGTGATATTTCTTCCTCCACTTTTTCTTTCTCATACGTTAATATCAGAGAGTGTGCTTGTCTAAGAAGACTTGAAACAACTGATACCTTTGCACTGATGTCGGGGTGTGATGATCCGAAATCTAAATATTTAATTGAGTGTGTTTTGTTCCTGAATATGGATATACTAAAGTGTCCATTTTCCCTCCTCTTAACTAGCCAGGCAGTCAAGAAATGGTAGTTTACCGATGTCTGATTCTGCCTGCTTCCGAAGAAAACTGGATTCTGGGAGATAGATTGCTCAGTTTCTCCAGGAATGAACTGTGTATATCTCAATCGTTTAGCCCCATAAAAGTATCATCTACTTATATCTTAACCATATTTTAGGAGTGAGTATGCTTGAAAAGATGTTATCTTCGAATCTGTTCATGAAAAGGTCAGCGACTATTGGGGAGACTGGTTAACGCATAGCAACACCATTTGTCTGTCTATATAAACCCCTGACATTTAAATGTAAAATAATTACTTTCTAGACAGAATTCCAAGCGCTTAATTATTATTTCACTGGTGTCCAGTCGACATCTTTGTGATAGCGTTGTATCTGATCCTAGTAGACTGGAAATGATATCAAGACTTTCGGTAATAGGGATACTATATATATACATATATATATTCGAACTGTACTGACTGATCTAAAAGATAAAGAAGTTTGCCTTGTAACCGGAAGGTCCTGAGTTCGACCCCGTCGCAGTGGGTGCGTACTGCCGATGATTCCCAAACTAGGCTGATGGAACAGCTGGCTGTCCAGTACTCCCTGTGGCTGGTTTTCAATGCTTCTCTAACTCACTGATATCAATCCGTGATCAACTCGCAAAAAACAAAACTAACCCTTACAAACCA